AATGAATTTAAATAGTTTAATTCAAATTAAAAATTACCATATAAAATTCATTTTTTCTTGTTCCAGTATTTCAGTATTTATTTATTAATATAAAAAAGAGTTTTTATAAACAAAAATTTCCTAAAAATTATTTAAAGAGTTTAATTCAAATTACAAATTATCTAATAAAATTCATTTTTCTTGAGTTTCTAAAACTCTAACACAAATTACTTATTTATCTATTTATTATGAGTTTTTTAATAAAAGAAAATTTAATTAGACAAGTATTATTAATATAAAATTTATTTATTAATTGAAATAAAAAGATGTTTTAAATAAGTTTCAATAAAACTCTAACACAAATTACCTATTTATCTATTTATTTTGAGTTTTTTTAATAAAAGAAAATCTAATTAGAGAAAATTTATTAATATAAAAAATATTTTTTAATTAATAGAAAAAGAGTTATTAAAAGTGTTTCTATTAAACTCTAACACAAATTACCTATTTATTTATTTATTATGACTTTTTTAATAAAAGAAAATCTAATTAGACAAAAATTATTAATATAAAAATTATTTTTTAATTGATATACAAAATATAGTAATTTTTCTAAAACTCTACTACAAATTACCTTTTATTATGAGTTTTTTTTTTTTAAATAAAAGGTAATCTAATTAACCAAGAATTATTAATATATAAAGATATTTATTAATCTATATAAAAAGTGTTTTTAAAAGATTTTCTATAAAACTCTAACACATATTACCTATTTATCTATTTGTTAGGAGTTTTTTTTTCAATTAAAGAAGATATAATTAAACAAGAATATATTTAAAGAAAATAAAAAATTTATATAAAATCTACCACTAATTAGCTGTTATATTTTCTATAAAAATCTGTCTTATTATCTATTTATTATGAGTTTTTTAATAAAATGATATCTAATTAGACAAGAATTATTAATATAAAAAATATTTATTAATTGAATTTAGTAATTTACAAAACTCAAACTCTACCACCAATTTAAAAATTCAGTATTTCCATATTAATATAAAACCTAAAAGAATTTATTACTTTATACGTAAAATAAATACAAACATATCACATAAACGAACAAATATATATCGTTATATATGCAAAGATCTATAAATAAAACATATATTTGTGAGTGTATATATCTATATCTATATCTATATCTCTATATTATTATTAAAAGTGTAAAGAGTTTTTTGATATAAAATAAATTAAAATAAAAGGGTTTCAAATCATTATTCAAACAACTAAAAAATAGGTAAAGTAGGTAATTATTTAATAAAATAATTTACTAAATAATAAAATAAGTTAGAAAACATTCATCACGTGCATCGCACGTGCTTTTTACTAGTATATATATATATATATATCAAGGTCAAGCAATTGTATAGATATATGGGCAAATATGTAGAGTGTTGGGTTGGTTTTAAGATATAGCCTAATAAAAGATAAAACAAAAACCAATTGGCCCAACCAATACTTGGAACCTCTAGCAAAAAAGCCCAATTTGCAAGTCGAAAGCCCGAATCAAATTACCTTTACAACGGCTAGTTGTTCAGTTCCGGTGATTTCAAACTAACATAGCAAGCTTGCATACAACCTTCCATAGGCTGTTTGTTACCGATTTGGTCCTCCAGTGAAGTGAGCACCACTGAACGAGAGGGGCACACGTGACGCCCCGAGAAAATTATGAGAGGGGGCGACCTTTAACAACAACTAGATTAAAATTTAAATATTGTGAGAGTAATAGTGAGTTTTTTCTTTGTTTTCAGTTGGGGCAAATTGACTTTGCAAAATTACACGAGAAGAAGATGTGGGAGTGATTTTCGGGGTGACTTGGGCATAATGGGCATGTGTTTGATGGATGTTTCCTTCCGCCTTTTATATTTTTTTTTACGAGGGAGATGATAAATGCACGTCCATTTTAATCAAAAAATTATTTAAAGGAGAGTGCGAATATTTTCGAAATACATCCATGTGTTTTTTACAGTGTCCATTATGCTTCTAAAGTTACATCAGTTTCTACAATTACGTCCTTTACTTTTACCTTTTTTTCTTTTGCAAATTTATCATGGTCCAAAGTTACTTGAAAAAATGTAATGCAGTTTCATCCTTTTATTTTTTCTTTTTTTTTTTTGGGTCGTGGCAAAAAATCTCCATCGATGCTCTTTAAGATATCAACTACAGTAATATTATAGAATTATAAATTTAACTGAGATTTATTGTAAAATCTAGCTATTCGAACATATCGACCATTGTCTGCTGTCTGAAAAAAGAAAAAAAAAAAAAAAACACATATGGACCATTGTTATAAGCATATATTTTTTTGGGACTCTAATCTTTTTTTTTGCTGGGCTGGGCCTCTAGCCATATCCATTTTTTAGTTTGTGGGCTGACTGAGCCTTTCTGGCCTTCCTTTTGTGTGGCCCATAGGTGTATTCACTGCTGTAGTGTGAGATTTTGGAATACCAGGAAATTGATATTGAATAAATTAAATATAATTAATCTAGATGATACTCAGGAAGCCGTCTTAGCTCAGCTGGTAGAGCGCGTGGCTTTTAACCACGTGGTCGTGGGTTCGATTCCCACAGACGGCGGTTTTATTATTATTATTTTTAATAAAAATAAAATTTTCGTCGACCTTCCATCATAATCTATCGAATGAGATGAGCTCCACATAAATTTTGATAAACCCGCATCAATCAACAGATAAAGTTGAAGCTCCACATAAATTTTGATAAACCCGCATCAATCAACAGATAAAGTTGAATAATGCCGATGCAATCCTCCTTTCTAAAGAGAATTTTATCCATTTGCCTTTTTATTTGTCAAACATGTAGGGCAGTGGAAACTGGAAAGCTAAAGAAAGCCGGACTTTCTGGTAAAGCATATGCACCTAGATGAAAAAAATCAGAGATACGTGTATGAATTATGTATTGTTTAGTTATCAACTTCATTACTTGATTGTTATTTGCTCTCTTAATTTTTCTCTCTCTCTCCATTGGTCAAACCGACAAAAAAGAAAAAAGAAAAAGAAAACATGAACTACTACATTCATTGAATTTCTCACATAAACACACACATGCACGCTTGAAAAAGGTCTCCAATGCAGTGTACAAATGATATATACATGTATGCACGATTAGATATTAGGTGGCGCTGCATACTCATCAATACAAACGTTTTTTTTGCAGTCTGACCACTTATATTTTCTCAATAATGACATAAATCTGAACTCTAGCTAAGTTCAGGGCCAGCTCTAAACCTAAACGACTCAGGGTCTCTAATTTGGACGCAAAAATCTGTATTACTAGGATCTTTCAAACTTGTAGGCCTCAGAAAATATTAATTGGGATGCTGAATCAAAAACTAGACTCGTCTCTGATACCATTTATAATAACTCAGATATTTGTTGTTGACCCAAAAATTTAAACTATCAGATGTTGCTCTATATCAGTCCATGCATATCCAAAACCTTCCATCCAGATTGTATCGCAAAACAAAATCTGCATATTATAGGTGATGGTATTTTGTACTAATTCATACAAATTTCTATGATGTGAAAGGAATTTAATTTCAAAAATAACACAACCAAAAAGTGGGGATATTTGCGCAAGGTATCCAAAGAGCGTGTTTTTTTTTTTTTTTTTTTTTTTTCATGAATGAAAATGATGAAAAATTGAAGGAAAAAGAGTGCCCACCACGTGAACAAACCATAGCTCTCTCAGTACCCCACCCATGTGCAGGTCGTATTTTCTTGAGACGTAACCTATAAATATATAATCAGATTTTGTTAGGATTTTTTTTTCAAATGTTCTTTTGATTGTGTCACTGTCACAATATTACCATGATTCAAATCCATAGTTTTTATTTAATTTTAAGTAGCCACTCTACTTTCTTCGAGTTGAGATATACAATAAGATTCCAAACAAGAGCTTCACCCAATCTTTTTAGTTGAAAAATGAGCATACACCTACCATTTTTTTTTTTGTAGTTTTCTTGGAATATGATGTGTTTTGGGTGGTATAAGCTTGTTCGATGATTTTTTTTTTTAATTAAATTATTCTCAAAAATTGAGAACTGGTTTGCTGACTTTGTTTTAAAGTGAAATCTGCCAATCCAACAAGTTTTTATATTGTTCTCTAGGTTTTCAATTATCTGAAATTGTTTTTTTTTTTTTAAATAATAAAAGAAACTAAAATCAAACACATCCTATATTTTTCACATTTTTTGCTTTGTACTCTTAAATTTCACATTAAAAAAAAAAAAAAAAACAAATGCCTTTCAAAAGCAAATTATGAGAATATTTTTGAGATTACTGTGGTACGTTAGAGTAGCTTTAGGAAATGTCATTTTCTATAATATTATCTAAAAGCAATCTAATGTCAATTGAGGATCTTTCTCTATAAGGACTTCTTCGTGACACACTTCTGAAAAATCTTCAATTTCATTGTCAGATAGTAACAATTAAAACTCTTATTCTATTCATTCTTTTTAAATGTAATCTTGTATTTTCATTCTTAAATATAATCATATTAAACAATTAAATGTCATATTTAAAAACCTATAATTTGAAGAAATTTAGCAATTTGTCAATGCAACAAATATAAAACTCCTAAAATACAAGAATGAGAATCCTCTACTGCGACTTTTTTTTTTATCTTGTGTCTATTCTATTCATTTGAATTGATAACTCAATATTGTAAATTGACTAACACAATAATTTTTAATCGTCAATATAATAATTTTAAAATTGATAATAAAATAATTACATAAAAACATTAAAATTTTAATTTAGTAATATTATAGTGGTTGAACACGATATACATGTTATATCAATATTACATCTTCGATATAAATACGTTGATTGTTGCATAATTACGTACAGTATTGCACACAATGAGATTTTGGACAAGTTGTTGATGTTACAAACCCCCCATCATTCGATGAATCGAGAACCATTTTTAAAGTGTTACTACACATCATTAAAAACAAACCATAAGTTTCATAATTCATACTATAAATCACTACAATATAGTCAAATATTGTCACAATATTACATATAAACCTTATACCATATGGTGTCTTAATTCAAAAGCTGCGGGCTTACAACTTTCTGCCGCCGCCTCAGCCTCCTCCCTCTTACCTACAATTCCTCTCACAAAATTCCCACTCAGTCACACCAAACAAACCCTAAGTCCCCAGCCCTTTACCTTTTACCAAATAGTCAAAAAGTATACTCTCTCTCTCTCCTCCATTTTTTTTTTTTTTTACCAACTCTCACATTACCCCAAAACAAACTAAACAAAGTAAATATAAATTAAAAAAAAAAGGGAAAAAATGGCGGGAAGAAGGGTAAGGTTGACATTTCAGACCCTGAAGTTCTTTCCGGTGAAGGTTTGACCGAATTGCCAATTGGCTGGGACGATGTTCCACGAGGTTGAGGTGCGCCTATCGCTACCGGTGACTCGGAACGAGAGGGACTGTCCGACCAGAACGGCGTTGGATTGCCAGTTTTGACCCCAGTTACGGCTCAGGGTCATCCAACCGGTTTTGGAGCCTTTGACGCTAGCCCTCACGATATCACCTGCACCCGCGACGTTGCTGATAAGAACAAGGTTGAAGTAACGGAAGCCGTTGATTGTGAACCTGATTCCTCCTCGCTTTCGGCATGGCACCCTGCGAGATTAATCATTCAAGGCGAGGTCAGTTTGGTCATCTGATAAATAAAGCACCCCTTTTTTTTTTTTTTTTTTTAATATTTTGTTTTATTAGCGTGAAACGCGGGATGTGAAGTTAGTGTGAGACCAAAAAGGTGTACGACGGGATTGAAGCTGTAAAGCTGATTCACATTGATGAACGGGAACGAAACCTCGTTGACCGTGTAGCAACTACCTAGGGTTTGCTGTTTGACATGGCTTCGCCACACTGTGGAAAACAACCCAACATGCCCGTGAAACAAAGTAACGCTGATTATCTGATCAAAAGTACCCAAATGTCCAGATCTTCTGGATATATATAATCCTACGGTATAAGTTTCATTTCAGTCTAAGTTAAAAGACAAAGCAGGGTAAGCACGGGAGGGGCATTTTAGTACTTGGCATGGTGGTACCCAATGAATTTTTTTGGCATTTGTGGGGTCAATTTAGGATAAAAAGAGAGAAGGAAATTTAGATGGAGGACCACAGTTGAACACTAAATTATAACTAACAAAACGGAAGGACAGTTATGGGACTCTTTAGTAATTCTACAACAGCATCGACTGCATTTGGGTCAATTTAGTTGAAAACGCGTCAATGGTCCGACAAAAAGTAATAAAGACCCATTCAGAATCTAATCTACAGAATCAAATTGGCCAAAAACAACGACAAATTCTTACATCCTCCCCTACTCTACCAATTAATAGTCGGTCCAGGCTTGGAAGAGTATTATAAAATTGATATATTTATTTACGAATCCATTAATATGGTAATAAAAATTAAAAGAAAAATTATGATATGGTCTAAGGATAATTTGTTCGGAGTCAAATACAACTAACCAATTGTGCTAGAAATTTATTATTATTATTATTACTTTTGCATGCTTAAGCCGATTTGTTAAAATAAATTATTTGATTTCTAATATTTCTTATATTTTGCATACGTAACCAATATGAGATTTTGTAAGGCCGAGGAATTATCTTTAACAAATCCGCTTCCAAATTATTTTCTAACAAAAGCCTCATAGAAACAGAGTATGAGAAAGAAAGAAAAACAGGGTACCAGAACCAAAAAAAAAAAACAGATCAATATATATGTGTGTGTGTTGAGAGAGAAGTAGTTACCGGCGGAAGGCGACAGGAACAATACCGGCACGGTACTCGGCGATCTTGAGGAACATGGGCATGGCGAGGTCGAAGTGGGGGCGAGGAGGGTTGCACCAGCCACCATTGTCGCTGGGCTGGGCGAAGTTTGGAGGGCAGAAGTTAGTGGCCGTGATGAAGATGGATGGGCTGCCGGAGTGGCACCAGCTAGGGTCATTAGCACACTTGAGCTCAAAACATGCACCGCAGCTCTGCCCATTGTTGAAGAGCGCCGTGCTCAGCGCCGCCGTGTTCACGCCGTACCCCTGGCTGTAGAGGTTGCCGTACCCACAAGCTCCACCTGTAGAAAACACCAATTCAGAAACATATCTATTAATTTTTGTAGCCTAGTATTTTTTTCTCTAGGAAAATTACGAAATTCTGATTTGGTTTTTTTTTTTTTTCACTTTTACCACAAAAGCTTATATTTTTTAAAGTTTACTTGTAAATTTTAATGCTACAATTTGAAACCCAAAATTTGAAAGCAAAATTGAATAACCAAAACTAAAGGATTTTGAGTAAAAAAAGAAGCAAAATGTGGGCTGCCAATATACCAAAAAGCATGTGTAGCGTGTGTTCCGAGATTTTGGAATTATATTAACTTGGTCACTGAATAATGTCGGATTTTCTATAAGTAATTAAAAAGGCTGAATGAAAAGAGTGAATGTGGGATGCATACCCATGGTACCGGAGGCATCACTGCCTCCATAGAAAGTAGCATGAGCGCCTTGCCAAGCTCCACCAGTGTAGACCCCAGGGATTCTAGCTTCAACTAGTGACAATAGTGAGATAAGGGAGGCAATGCAGACCACACTCAAAACACCCATTTTAGTACCTAAACTACAAAATAAATTACGAACCTAGAGAGAGAAAGGAAGAGAACAAGAGAGAGAGAGATGGGGGTTGGTGGTGGTGGAGGGAAATGGGGAGGAAGGTGGAGTACTTATGGAGGAGCATTGGGAGGGTACCAGGGGCAATTCATGTAATTTTCGAAGAACATTACTACTAGGACTGATATCCTCTTTTGTAAAATGAAACCTTTTTCTTAGTCCCACGCTCTACTCTTGCGCGTCAATTGTACGTACCAATTGTATTGCTGGGCTCCACATAAAGGGTATTTTTATTATTCTACGTTATTTCAGTTGGAAAGTTACACATAGACCCGTAAACGGGTCCAATTTGGATCGGATTGATCCAATTCGAATCCCATAAGACTATACTCAATCCAGTTTGAAATTCAATAGATATTTTATAAATCAATTTATATGTGATTTGTTAATAAACGAATATTTGATCCAAATAATAGTGTGTGCACCATTTTTTTTTTTTTTTTGTTAAAAAAAATGTCAAAAGAGAATAAAAATAATACACAAAAAAGAAATATGAAAAAATAAAATTAGATTTTTATTAAAGAATAAAAACTCAGGAATAAGAAAAAATAGAGAGAGAGAGTGTAGAAGAAGATTTGAGAAAATATTGATAAGAATATTTTAATAATATATAAATATTATATATCATAAAATTAGATTATATATATTTAACAGATTATATAATATATTATTTCAGATCGAATTGTTATTCATTGGGTAGATCATAATTCATATCCGATTTATTTAATTATCGAAATAAATATTCAATCCATATCTAAATTATCATATCAGATTTAGATCAAAATCCGATCAATTGACATGTGTTTAGTTACTGTCATAAATTTGGATTTTTCCGTATTCCTAGATGTATTGTGTCAACACAAATAACTTTACACCTTTTACACAATATCTAAGCATAAATTATTGATTTGTAAGTGATATATTATATTACTGTGTTGGGTAAGTAATACAATAAGCAAATATAAAATGAATAATAATAGGGAGATCGATGAATTAACCTCAAATAAGTATCGAAATACGTGGAGTAATGATAGGGGAACCGAAAAGGAATTACCAAATTAGTATCGAATTTGACGTGATTGGTCATTCTTATCACGTGTTAAATAATTATTTTTGGAAACTGTTTAAGCAGATGAGATGGACAAAAACATGTTAGATTCGATACTTATTCGGAGTTAATTCATTAATCTCCTAATCATTATTCTTCCAAAAATAATTGTTTAGCAAGTGATAAGAATCACTAAACACGTCAAATTCAATACTAATTCTGTGATTCATTTTCGGTTCTCCTGTCATTACTCATACAAAATCGCAACACATGAGGTGATCGCAATTTTTACTCTCCCATCTTTAAAAAGAAAAATTATTATATAGTTCAAAACTATATGATTTTGACTAATCACAACTCAACATGCAAAAAAAAATTTAAATAAAATTGACACATTTACTTATATATCAAATTATAATAGGTCCAAATTATCTAATATTAGGAAAAATTATTAAATAGTCTCAAAATCAAAGTTTGGACCAATTGCTAATTGACACAAAAAAGAAAAATTAATTAACTAACGTATTTACTTGCATATTAATTAGTAATTAGTTCGAGATCAATGATCCAAAATAATATAATAATTTTTTTTTAGTTCTAAGTCATGTTAAAATTTCTCCTTAAAGAGATTAGCACTTCCATATTTCGTAGAAAGAAATCTGTTTTTCCTTCTTCCACACAAATATATTTTGTACTTTGTATCACTTTTGTCTCATGTGAAGCTTGATACACACAAGATGATAAGGACGCACAGTGGAAAAATATCTGGAAATAGAATATTGTGTATCTGGGAAAAAAAAAAAAAAAAAAAATCTCTACATGTATGCATGACGTTACTGACGTCCCTACTTTTAACCGTTGTGACAGATATACCCTAATATCCCCGTGTATCTCATGCTATAAACAAGGGCAACATGGGAAAGTAGGTACTAAGATGGAGTACGAAGGAGTACAAAGTAAAAGGGTTGGCTGATCTTCGCATAATGCGTAACTAGCGGCTGTGATTTGAAGATCTATGGGACCCACATAGAGATTTGTAGTGTTTCCTGAGATGGATGAGAAGGTTACAGGCCCACTGAGATAGAATAAGATGAGATACGCAACACGTCAGCAAATCAAGTTATGTGGAGCCCAAGTGGCCAACTAGAAGCAACTAACGCAAAGAAAGGTGGGACCTACTAAATCCCGTAATTATCGGTCCATATACTGCGCCAGGATTTACACACACGTAGACCTCTCGAGCCACACGCGCACACAACCCACCCCACTTATCGCATAACTTTGTAACCAAACAATTTTATCTAGAATAAGATCTGACAATCACTTGAATGAATATCATCTCTAACACTAAATGCTTGGAATATTTTTTTTTTTTTGAAACAAGAACACTATATGTGTCATTTTTATTTTATGTATCATTGTTGTTTTATATCTGTTATTTGCTTAATGTAACAATTTTACAGTTAATTAGTGAAATAAAAAGTGAAAAATTATAAAAATTCTATTTGTCAATAAATGTAAAAAATATGAAAGGATATTTTGATAAAAGCAGTTAGAAATTTTATTTTTCATCAGCAAATTAATATACTATTAATTTCATACCTTCTTTTTTTATTATTTTTTATTTTATTTTTTTTTATGTTGTTGTCCGAGTGGTTGGGTTGTTTTTTCAACCTTTCACCCTCTCCCTTTCCTCTAACCACTAATCCCTAACATTCTCACCAATTTTTTTTTTTTCCCTATAATTTTAGTATTGATTTATATATTTACTGGCCTACTATTTATATAATTTATATTACACCCTGTTTATGTTACTTGAATATAATCATAAATTAAAAATATCCAAAATCCGTAACATGTACATCGTGGATCTAACAACTTTAAATCGACAATGCAACAATTATGTAAATGTATTAACATTTTAATTTTATAATTTTATAACATAACACTATATAATATATTATATGTGTGTTATATCTTTGATATAAATGTGTTGCATAATCTTTTAAAAATTATTGTATATACTGCAATAGTACACAATTTTTCTAAACTGAGTGGGAATTTAAAAATTATTGCATATGTTTTACATTTTATTATGTAGCTGTACTGCACTAGTACACAATCTTTCTTTTCTTTTCTTTTTTCTTTTTCTTTTTTTATTTCCAATAACACAATTTTTCTAAACAAGGGGGATCCGAGCTTTATATTTTTTTAATTATGCGTAGTCAATATGTGTTATTTATCATTATAATATAAGAAAGTCTCCGAACTCAATATTAATGTGTATCATATATCCTTCTCTATTCAGCTTTCTATCTTCGTTTAATATATTAACTTACCCAAAAACGAATATATATCTTACTTATCAAGCATTGGCTTACATTTACAGCTAATTTCATCTTATTCAATGTTGATCAGAATTTAATAGTAATAAAAATTTCAACTCATTCCCGATAAAGAAAAAAAAAAAAAAAAAAAAAAGTGTAGTTCAAATAATGGATTGACTAAGGTTGGTTCTTCAAGAGATTTACTTGTTTTTCTATATAAAAATTTTGGACTTATTCAGTTTAAACTTACCCAATAAGAATTTTTTTATTTTAAACCAAACTAAATGATAAATGTTTTGAGTATGACTATTTAACTGTATCTTTTGGAATGTTTCTTTCAGGAATTTATTGGGTAAAAAAAATTTTACAGTAAAAAATTTTTGAAGTCCACTGCAGCCATTTTGTTGTTTTCTCGTTGGATGTGTTTGCTTATCTTTTAACAACTTGTTTGATCCTGTATTTAGTTATTTTAACCTAAATTTTGTAATGAATTTCAATGATTGTCATTTGACATCTCTTTACTTTAATGTTAATCATTTTAAAAACAAAAAATAAAAACAATTAGGATTGAGCACATGACTATACGTAGTCGTTACTTCAAATGTCATTTTAGTAATTCAAGTGGCTTTGAATGTCCATTAAAATAAACCCTTCTTCTATGGAGAAGAGTGGTGATGTTCTTATTATAAACAAATTTTGTATTATTTTTATTAATATTCGGAATGCAGTGTTTCTTTCAATTATTTGCAATCATTCAGCTACCAAAATAAAGACTCTTGATACAATATACATAAATATTGGAGTTTTGTAGTGCATAAAAAAATATAATTGAATAAAAGAGAAGGGTAAAGGACTGGAAAAGTACCATGAAAGAAAAATAATAAGTCTTCTTAATAATGGAAATGCACAAGATTTGAGTATTGCATGGTTTAAGTTATTATGGATTGTAGATGCTTCAAAAGTTTAGTGGGTTAATGTAGAGTGTTAGGTTTCGGCTCTCTGCAACTTCTAACACTTTTTATCTTGTAAAAAAAAATTATTATGGACTTAGATCCCCATACCTAATTTTAATGCACAACACGAAATTTAGAGCTGGTTACATAGAATTATTGTGCTTCGTGCTTATGCACTAAAACTTCATTGTTGGGTGCACATGGGACCTCACTAAACAATAATTAATCCACTTTTTTTCGGTCAATAAGAAGTGTTGAAGGTGGTTCGTGAGTCAAGAATCTTGAGACCAGTATCCAAGTGGAGATCCAAGCAACACAAGGGATTATCTGAATATAGAGATTAAGAAAGGAAAGGATGAGCTCGGTATTGCGTGAGCTCGAGCTTATCAGTAAATAGCTATTAATGTGGTTGTTGTGTTGTTTTAAAGGCTGATTAACACCCCTATTTATAGTGTTTACCTTTTCGGTCAATGTTTCTTAATCCTTTGGGTGAGCCCGCTCTTACCCAAGGGTTCAAGGGTCTCTCCTTCTGACAGACGAGACATTGATGGACGGGCCGCGATGCTTTGCCCCCCAGTCAAAAGAGGTAATGACGCTTCCTAATTAATATGGGTCTTATCAAACGTCTTTCGTAATTAATGCATTCTTTATCCTTCCTTGCTCGAGCTTGGGTACCAAGTATCCTTTCCCCCTTGTGTTGGCCTTGAACTGAGG